TTGCCAACTCCAGAGTGTCCCATAGTTGGAGTCATACAGTATGTAGACTTTCCAAGAGGGGTCTCTTTCACTTAATAATATACATACTTATTTATTTATTTTTAGAGACAGAGTCTCACTATATTGCCCAGGCTGGTTCCAAACTCCTGGCCTCTTATAAGTGATCCTCCCACCTCAGCCTTCCGAAGTGCTGTGATTACAGGAGCAAGCCACTGCAACCGGTCTCACTTAGTAATATACATCTAAGATCCCACGCCTGCTTATGGGCTGATAGCTCATTTTTCTTTTTCTTTTCTTTTTCTTTTTATTTTCTTTTTTTTTGAGACAGAGTCTCAAGAGCAGTAGCACGATCTCGGCTCACTGCAAACTCTGCCTCCTGGGTTCAAGTGATTCTCCTGCCTCAGCCTCATGAGTACTGGGATAACAGGCGCTCACCCCCATGCCCTGCTAATTTTTGTATTTTTAGTGGAAGCAGGGTTTCACCATGTTGGCCACACTGGTCTTGAACTCCTGACCTCAAATGATCCATCCGCCTCAGATTACAGGCATAAGCCACTATGCCCGGCCGATACCTCATTCTTCAAATTGCTGAATAATATTCCATTGTTGGGATGTACCACAGTTTATTCATCCATTCATGTGTTAAAAGACATTTTGGTTGTTTCTGAGTTTGAGCTATTATGAATGAAGCTATTATAAATATTTATGTATAAGTTTTTGTGTGGACTTAAGCTTTCAACTCCTGTGGGCACATTTCAAGGAGTACAAACAACAGTTGTTGGATCTTATTGTAAAAGTATGTTTAATTTTGTCAAACTGGCCTGGCGCAGTGGCTCACGCCTGGAATCGTAGCACTTTGGGAGGCTGAGGTGGGCGGATCACGAGGTCAGGAGATCGAGACCATCCTGGCTAACATGGTGAAACCCCGTCTCTACTAAAAATACAAAAAATTAGCCAGGCATGGTGGCAGGTGCCTGTAGTCCCAGCTACTGGGGAGGCTGAGGCAGGAGAATGGTGTGAACCCAGGAGGCGGAGCTTGCAGTGAGCCGAGATCGCGCCACTGCCCTCTAGCCTGGGCGACAGAGCCAGACTCCATATCAAAAAAAAAAAAAAAAAAAAAAAAAAAAAAAAAAAAGAAAAAGAAAAGAAAGAAACTGCTAAACTGTCTTCAGAAATGACTGTACCGTTTTGCATTCTGACCAGCAGTGAATGAGAGTTGCTGTTACTCTACATCTTTGTCAGCATTTGGTGGTGTCAGTGTTCTGGATTTTAGCCATCTATTAGAATTAGCCATTCTAACAGATGCCTAGTGGTGTCTCGTTGTTTTAATTTGCAATTCTGATAACATATGATGTGGAGAATCTTTTCATGTCTGTGTCTGCCATCTGTACATCTTTGGTGAGGTATCTGCTCAGATCTTTTGCCCCTTCTTTTTCTTTTGTTTTGAGACGCAGTCTCCCTCTGTCACCCAGGCTGGAGTGCAGTGGTGTGAGCGTGGCTCACTGCAACCTCTGCCTCCCAGGTTCAAGCGATTTTCTGCCTCGGCCTCCTGAGTAGCTGGGATTACAGGTGCCCACCACCACGCCTGGCTATTTTTTGTATTTTTGTTCATTTTTTAAAACTGGGTGTTGACTTTTAAGAGTTCTTTATATATTTTGGACTCAAGTCTTTTCTCAGATATGTGTTTTGCAAAATTTTCTCCCAGTTCGTGGCTTGTCTTTGCATTCTCCAAATCATTTTCCACTAAGCATCTAGAATGCCATCGTACCTTCCTGTCTGTGAGAGTGTGTGTGTGTGTGTTTAATGGAGTGGGAGGAGGAGAGAGAAGGACAACATTCGGAAGGAAGGGAGGGTACTAGGAATGAATAACACTTGATGTAGTCTTCAAGGGGTTTCTTATATTCTGATTTGAGAGAGACGATCTCATATTCAATAACAAGAAAAAGCAATGTGAGATGCATTGCAAATGCCTGGCATCCTGCAGCAAGCAGGGATCTGAGGGATTGGAGATGGTGGTGGGGGCTGCATGGAGTTTGGAGGGGGCGCCCATGTGCAGGAGGAGGAAATTGAGGTGAGAGGAGGAATGACTTGGAAAGAAGAGCAAAGCATTCCAGACTGGAGTAGGAACTGGGTGACATGAGAGAGTCACGGACCAGGGAGGCCAGTTTAATCCCTCCTCCTGCAGGAGCCCCAGGACATCTGGGAATAGGGCGGGTAGGGTAGGGCTACAGTGGACGGACCCTGGCAATTTGAACTATGCTCGGAACATGGGGTGGCAGATTCTGAAGACAAGCTGGGCCAATATTCTCATTTTGCTGCTTCCCCTAACTTCCCTTTTGCCCCCTCCACATGGAGAGTCTCCTGCTGGGAGAGGAGGGAGATTTTCACTTAGCACAGTCATGCAGAGGGGAAAAAACGCTGATTCAAATCTCATTCCCAGACACCTGATTTCTGCCAGCTCTGACCACCTTGTCTCAAAGATGCAGCTGAAACAGGGAAGGGGGAGCACCAGACAAAAATGGGAGCTTTTCTGCAGAGAGATGGGCTGGCGCTTGGCAAGGCCCACACTCCGGGCTGCAGCCCAGCACCGCCTCACTGGTCTCCCAGAAAGCATATGAGGTGCCTGCTTAGGGCGCTCAGGGTTGGCTGAGGACATAGCCTGACTGCTCTGTTCCAGTCACTGGTATTTATGAGCCTCCTGTGAGTCCAGACCCAGGTCTACATCACAGGGGAGGTAAGAAAGGTGCAAATTCTGCTCTGCCCGCCAGCCCCCTGCACCTCCAGGAGGTACCCATGGTGGGCAGAGGATGAGATGTTCAGAGGAAGCCATGGTTCAGGAAAATTAGCCCCCAAACCTCAATAGCATTAGCACCAAAACAGGATGAACACGTCTCTGGACTGAATTATGTCCCTCCAAAATTCACATTAAAGTGGTAACTCCCAATGTGATGTTATTTGGACATGAGGCCTTGGGGAGGTAATTAGGGTTAGATGAGGTCATGAGGAAGGGCTCTTGGGATTTTATTAGTGGCTTTCTATGAAGAGGCAGAGAGAGGAATCACTCTTTCTCTTTGCCAGGAAAGATCCGGTGAAAAGACGGGTCTATGAACCAGGAACCAAATTGGCCAGCATCTTGACCTTGAACTTCCCAGCCTCCAGAACCATGAGAAATGTCTGTTGTTGACGCCACCCAGTCTGGTGTTTTGTCATAGCAACTGAGCTGACTGAGACAAACACATGAGTGGTGTTCCCTTCCCAGCCTTCCAGCCACAGCTGGCTGTGGCCAACACTGGGACCCTGGGGACTTACCTTCTCTGTTCACCCCCTCCACAGTTTACCTCCCTGCTCTGGGCCAGCGGTTGTTTTCAAAGTGTGGTTGGGGACCACTGGGAGTTACCAAGACCCTTTCAGGGGGTCCACTGGGTAAAACTGTGTTAAAAATAAAACTAAGACCTTATTTGCCCTTTGAGTCTCATTTTTTAGAGCTGGTGATATGTCAGGAGCAGCTGGAGTCACTTCTTCCAGACTGACCAGGCCTTATCATTGGGGAGAACTCCAGGGACATCAGACAACTTGGATTCCAGTCTTAGATTTCCCCTCAGGAAATGGGGCATTGACTTAGATAACAAAGCCTCCTCCTCACTGTAGAAATGGCATTGTCCTATTTTCCCTGAATCTTGGTGTTCTTTTTCGTAGATTGAGATATAATTTTAGATCCCCTACACATCTCACAAAGCTGTTAAGGAAGCCAAATAAATTAAATGTGAATGTTCTCTAACAAGAGAAAATTGTTCCATCATTATTACATGTGATTATTAAGAGAGGAGCAACCCAAGGAGAATCAGCAGTCAGCCCTGGGTCTAGTCAGAGGCCCATCCTCAGCCTTCCTTTGTTGCTAGGAGACCAGCCCTTTGTTGCTAGGATCCTCAATCCAATACAGCATCAGTCTTTGAACATGGTTTCCCTTTCTTCCACACACCTTCCATGTTGGTAATTGGATTTGTTTTCCCTTAAAGGATCCCCAAGCCATTTTTAAAAATATGAAATTAAATTAAAAAATAAAAATGCAGGTTCCTGTGTCTCAATGTAAATCATTTCTGGTCATTCCCATTCTTCCATTTCCTCTCTCTTTCTCTCTGTCAGCATTTTTTTTTTTTTTTTTTTTTTTTTTTGAGACGGAGTTTTGCTCTTGTTGGCCAGGCTGGAGTGCAATGGTGCAATCTTGGCTCACTGCAACCTCTGCCTCCCAGGTTTAATTGATTCTCGATTCTCCTGCCTCAGCCTCCTGAGTAGCTAGGATTACAGGCATGTGCCACTATGCCTGGGCTAATTTTTGTATTTTTAGTAGAGATGGGGTTTTATCATGTTGGCCAGGCTGGTCTCAAACTCCTGACCTCAGGTGATCCACCAGCATTGGCCTCCCAAAGTGCTGGGATTACAGGCATGAGCCACTGCACCTGGTCTCTCTCAGCTTTTAAAATGATGAACTATAACCTACATACACAAAAGTTCATAAGTCATAAATATGAGCATCATGGACTAATATCCAGCGAATATCCACACAATTACCAACCAGCTCAAGAACTAGAATATTACTGGCACCCCAAAAACATCCTCACAACCCACATGCTCCTTCCCAAAATTCCCTCCCTGCCCTGAAGGTAAACTCTCCTTTTTAAAATGGTGATGAATTCCTTGCTTTTCTCTCCATGACTTCTTAATGTCCAGGGCTCCAGGGCCCAGGGCTGGGTGATCTTATCCAGGTTACTGGCTCTAAACGCTACCAATTCCCAAATGCATGTCTCCAACCAGGGCCTCTCCAAAACCTCCAGACTCCTGTATCCAACTCTGTGCTTAACCTCACCACTGGGTGTCCAAGAGACGTTTCACTGTGTGATGTCCAAATCTATGCTCCTTATCCTGCCCCAGTCCAGTCCACTTCTCCTGAAGGGGAAGGCATTTTTTCCTGCTGTTTGACTCTCTTACTTTTAATTCTTCAGATCTGTTACGCATCCTGTTGGCTCTGCCTTCAAAGGATCTCCAGAATTCAGCCACTCCTCACCTTCTGGCTCATCATCCCCCATTTGGATGACTGCAGTAGCCCCAACTGATTGTGTTGCTTCTACCTTGGCCTCAACAGTTGATTTTCAAGACCACAGACAAGTAATTCTTTTAAAATACTAATCAGATCATGTCCAATTCTCTGATCAGCTCCTTGCAGGTGGCCTGGGAACCCCTGAGCCTGCAGCTGATGTCTGAAGAGGGGGCAGTCTTGAGAGAGACTGTGCCCTTCACCTGTGAAGTGTGGCCTGACTCTGGGAAGTTAGTGTCGGGACTGCATCACAGGGAGACCTCTGTAGTCATCATTGTTTTCAGTTGCGAGTGGGCATCATAAATTCACCAACATGAGCTCCCTGAGTGCCAAAGGAACTCCTGAAGTGGGGAAGGCCCAGGGTGGACTGACTTAAGCATGGATCCAGGGACTCAGATGATGTGGCTAGACAGGGCTGCCTGGTGCACAGCCTCAGGGGCATGAATATTTTATCAATTCTGCTTCCCTCTGGGTTGGTTTCATTTCTCTTCCAGCAAAAAACTTCTTCATGAGTCTAGGGAAGATAGCTCTTGGAAGTTCCAACTTAACATGATCCCAGCCCAGCAAATCCAACTGAAAGAGCACCTCTCTTTCCAGCATCCCCATCGATCCCAGGGGCACCTAGAGCCGGCCCTGCTTGAGTATCCCCGAGCCTGTCATGATGGCTAGGAAATGCAATTCTCTAATTGGCCAGAAGAAGGGGAACGAGAAGCTGTGAAGGACAGACCAAAAGGGCCCCATTTCCGGTGTGGCTGCAGGCACCTGAAGTGATTCGTTTAGGCCAGACATTCCTTGGTGACGCAGTGTCCTTCTTGCTGCCCCACACATCCATTTCCTCATCAGTAGACCAAGGAGGTTGCACAGATCGAAGGTCTCCTCCAGCCCAGTCATACTAAGAGCCTGTGAAATCCAGAACAAAGCCCAGGGCTGCGACTGTCTATCATGCTTTGTCCTGTTGTTGGGTTGATTTTCTCTGTGGCTATCTTGAAACCCCCAACAGACCAGCTGCTCTCCCAGGATGCCTATGGACAGAATCTCACACCATTATTACCTCTGGAGAAGGATCCAGGGACCAGTGATATCCGCTGCCCTTAGGAGTTCTGCTCTGTCTTGTGGCATCATGGGACCTCACCAGCTTGCCCAGGTAAAGTGGAAATTGTTTCTTCTTGGAAATCTACAAGAGGATCAAAGATAGTGCAACTGCATAAGACTCCATATTTTGTTTCATTTCATTTCATTTCTTTTTTTTTTTTTCTTTTTTGAGATGGAGTCTCACTCTATTGCCAGGCTGGAGTGCAGCGGTGTGATCTTGGCTCACTGAAACCTCCTCCTCCTGGGTTCGAGCGATTCTCCCGCCTCAGCCTTCCGAGTAGCTGGGATTACAGGCACCTGCTCAGGTGGTCACTGAGTCAAAATCCAACGCTGCTCCTTAGGAAGAGAGGGAGATGTGAAGCCACAGTGGAGACACACAGAGATGGCTATGCGACAACAGAGGCAGAGATTCGAGTGATGCTGCCGCAGCCAAGGAGCGCCAGGGATCACTGGCAGCAACCAGGGACTTGCAAGAGGCAAGGAAGGATTCCACGCTAGAGCCTAAGGAGGGAGCATGGCCTTACAGGCTCCTTGATTTTGGACTTCTAGCCTCCGGAACTGTGAGAGAATCAGTTTCTGTTGTTTTAAGCCATCCACGTTTGTGGTACCTTTTTATGGCAGCCACAGGAAATGAACAGCCCTGCCATCCCAAACCACTGACTTGAAGTGAATTCCTCTCCAGTCTGTCATTCACGCCTCACCAGCATGGGCTAAAACCTGCTTGTGTGAGAGTGAGGGACCCTGGGATCTGCCCGCCCACAGATCTAAAGCCAGCCTCTGCTCTGGCAGGGTGTAAACACCCAGAGTAGACAAACACCAGAGGAAGAGCCCTGGATGTAGACAACCAGGGGAACTACTATCCAGGGGAACTACTATCCAGGGGAACTACTATCCAGGGGAACTCCTATCCAGGGGAACGAATTGGTTCCATTACCCCATCCCTGTGGTCCCTCCAACAGTGGAGCTGCAGTGAGAGGTGGTAGAAAGCTTCACATTTTTGTCTCTTCCACTTTGCAGAGTTTACCCAGTATCTCTGGATTTCTGCTATAAAATGACTACTTTTGGCAGTGATTATGCTGCAAAGGTCACATTGTCTTTTCAGAAGGGCAGTTCAGGTTGGAACTGAACTGGGTTGGGCAGCCACTGGGTGGTGACATTGTTTCTCCACCGGCAGCAGGCGACCTCCAACTCCAATCAGGGGATGCCCAGGCCTGCCCAGACCTTGGCTGGGCTCTGAGGCAAACCTTCCAGATGGGATGACGGAGGCTGCAGTTGAGGCCTGAGTCAGGAAAGATGGAGCAGGAGATAAAGTCCTGGGCTGGAAAAGAATGAATGTCACAACTTTCTCTGTTTTACAGACAGCGGCTCCGAAGGGCTTTCATCACACACATCATCTTGGAGCCCCTTGACCTCTCTGTGAGGGAGGCATGACAGGAGTTTTTACTCACATTTTATAGGATTGGAAACTGAAGTCCAGAGAAGTGACACGGCTTGCCGAAGGCCACATTCGAAGTGACAGAGGCAGGGCTTGGCTGGGCCTTCCGACTCCAGGCCACAGCCAGGGCTTTCTGAGGGCAAGCTCCTTTCATCAGACACTTACTACAAATGAGTCAGGGCGCTGGGCCATGGGGATGCAGAAATAAAAATTGACATGGGGTCCCTGTTCCTAAAAAACTCAGAAGGCTGGGCACGGTGGCTCACTCCTGTAATCTCTGTGCTTTGAGAGGCCAAGGTGGGAGAACTGCTTGAGCCCAGGAGTTAGAGACCAGCCTGGGCAACATAGTGAGACCCTGTCTTTACAAAAACTGAAAAAATTAGCTGGGTGTGGTGGCATGCACCTGTAGTCCCAGCCACTTGAGAGGCCTAGGCGGGAGAACTGATTGAGCCGGGAGTTTGAGGCTGCAGTGAGCTATGATCGCATCACTGTACTCCAGCCTAGGTGACAGAGCAAGACTCTGCCTCTAAAGAAAAGAAAGGAAAGCTCATAGTCTTGGAGGTGGGACAGAGGGCAGGGTGACAAGTATACAAACGGACACTTCCAATGACAAATTTGGTAAAAAGATGCCATGTGAGCAGAGAGAAGGACCTGAACTCAGTCAAGCAAGACTTCCGGTTGGGGGTTGATGTGTGTTCCCCCAAAAGATATGTTGAAGTCCTAACTCTGGGAGCTCTGAATTTGACCTTGTTTGAAACTCTGAATGTGACCTTGTTGAATGTGACCTCTTTGCAAATGCAGTCAAGTTAAGATGAAGTCATCAGGGCAAGTCCCAATCCAATATGACAGGTGTCCTTATAAGAAGAGGAAAATGCCACGTGAAGACTGAGACAGAGATGAAAGTGACACAGCTGCAGGCCAAGGACCATTGAGGATTGCTGGTCACCGCCAGAAACCAGCAAGGGGCAAGGAAGGATTCTACAGGGTCTCAGAGGGAGCGTGGCCCTGCAGACTCCTCAACTTGACTTCCAGCCTGAACAACTGTGTCTGTGTTTTTCCACATTGTGGGCCCTGCCTTCGTGATGTTACTGCTGCCCACCACATTTTCCTGCACAGTCCCCTCTGAAAGCTCCACAGCCTTCCCTATTGAGCTCAAGTGTCCTCTGCTCTTAGGAAGTATATTCACCTCCTAGGGCCCTCATGACAGAGCACCACGAACTGGGTGGCCTCAACAGCAGACACTTATGCTCTCACAGTTGTGCCTCTAACACAGGGGAAGCTAGATACCTCCGGTGTTTCAGCTCAATGCTCAGAGCTGATTGCTGTCATTCAGGTTTTACAGGTCACAGCCTCAGATTCTGGCAACATTGTCTAATTCAGCTTATGTTGTAAATGTAGCCAGTCGCATAGAAACTGCTACAATTAAAAGTACACTAGACCCAGAACTGTTTAATTAATTTATTTATTTTTGAGATGGAGTCTTGCTCTGTCAGTGCAGTGGCGTGATCTTGGCTCACTGCAAGCTCCACCTCCTGGGTTCATGCCAGCCTTCTGCCTCAGCCTCCCGAGTAGCTGGGACTACAGGCACCTGCCACCATGCCTGGCTAATTTTTTGTATTTTCAGTAAGACGGGGTTTCACCATGTTAGCCAGGATGGTCTCGATCTCCTGACCGCATGATCTGCCTGCCTCGGCCTCCCAAAGTGCTAGGATTACAGGCGTTAGCCACTGTGCCTGGCCGCTTAATTTATTTTTAAGACTTCAACAAGTTATTTGTTCTCATGCAGCTCCTTTTCATATTTCTCATATTCGCTCCCACACACAACTTCCTGGGCCCCTATCTCTAGGTAATGAGAAAGCAGACAAACTGATTGGTTCTGTGTTTCAGCAAGCTCAAGCGTCTCATGCACTTCTGCACCAAAATACTTCCGCCCTTACTTGCATGTTCCATTTATCTCATAGCCAACCTAGGGCTATAATACAAGCTTGTCCTACTTGCCAGCATGTCCCTTGAACCACACCTGTAGAAGACTGTAACTCATGAGGTTTGGCTCCAAATGAAATCTGGCAAATGGATGTTACACACGTAGCAACCTTTGGTAAGCTTAGCTATGTTCATGTGACCATAGACACTTATTCTCATGTGCTGCATGCTACATGCCAAACAGGTGAGACAGCTGGTCATGTACGGTGACATTGTCTGTCATCATTTGCTCATATGGGGATACCTAAACAATTAAAAACTGACGATGGACTTGCTGATACTAGTCATGCTTTTCAAAATTTCTTACAGCTTTGGGCTATAACCCGTAAGACAGGAATTCTTTATAATCCTAGAGGACAAGGCATTATAAAGCGGGCACATCAAACATTACAATGCATGTTGAAAAAACAAAAAGGGGGTATAGGAGGCCAACTACCACCTCAATCAAAACTACATTTAGTCTTATTTACTTTAAATTTTCTGACTCCTGGTACGGAAGGTAAGACTCCAGCAGAAAGACATTGGTAAGTGTTAGAGGAAAAGAAGAAGGTTTATCCAAAAGTGTTATGGAAATTCCTGGAAGAAGGACAATGGAAAGGTCTGGTGGATTTACTAACATGGGGACGAGGGTATGCTTGTGTTTTTGCATGAGATGGACAAACCGTGTGGGTGCCCTCAAGGTGCGTGCGGCCATGGAATGGGAAACTGGAGGAACTCAGGGTGGCCAACCATGGACCTGGTCCCTCTGGTATGAGCCCATGAGTCAGCTGGAGCCTCAGTGCAAAGGTGGAGAGAAGGCCAACTGGAGTCACGACACACTAAGATTACGTTTGTAAAGATTATCATCACTCAATTTACAGTTTGTGTTTTTAATCCTTATGTCGTTTTGGCAGCTAAGAAGGACCGGCTCCAGGTAAACAATACCCAATTGACCTGTAAGTCTTGCCAGTTATATCGCTGCATTGATCATAGCACATTGCCAACACATAATATCTCTACTTTGATTATTTTAGGTCTCATCCCTGGGCTATGGATTCCCATTAATCTGTCCAAGTCTTGGGCTGCCACACCTGCTTTGCATTTTGTGAAACTTCTTCTAACTCAACTTACTCATTGTGTCCATAGAACCTTAAGCATGATCATTTTTGCTACTGTTTCCTTGGTCACGCTATTAACTTCTGTTGTGATATCTCCTGTAGCTTTTCATAATTCTATCCAAACAGCTCAGTACGTGGAGAACTGGACAGGCATAGCCAACTAAGCATGGCTAATTCAGAATAAAATTAACACTGAGTTACAAACTGAAGTGGCGATATTAAAATCCACGGTTCTATGGTTAGGGAAACAAGTACAAAGCTTGCAGTTGCAGCAGCAATTGCGTTGTCATTTTAATCACACTCATATTTGTGTAACCAACTTGGAATATAACCAAAGTGAGTATCCATGGGGCCTTGGGGCCTTGTGAAAGCCCATTTGCAGGGAGCTTTCACATCCAACATCACCTTTGATATTGGTGAATTACAAAATTCTTGATTTTAATAGGTAAACTCAAGAATTTCTGCCTTCTTTTGAAGACTAGACCGAATTCCAGCAAGGCCTGGAGAGCCTCAACCCTTGGACCTACCTAAGGCACCACATTTACATCTTATATGTGGTTCTTGGAATAATGTTGCTTTGTCTCTGTCATCTGTTTATAGTCTGTAAAATCGGATGGACTGCCAATCAGAGAATGAGAGCTGCCCAGCCTGGTCTTACATTCTTTCAATTAATTCATAAACAGAAAGGGGGA